GCTGTTACTGAGATAATTGCTTCGGTTTCTTGATTCCTTCGTGAATCAACGAAACTCTGGATTAGATCTGATTGTTCGGTGGTCCACGGATAAACCCCGGTACAGGAAAACATCCCACGCAAGCAGAAGACCGATAAATGATCTTTGTGTTTGTTTTGACGAGAATTGTACGTTTTATTTTCATTGTGTAAGAGTCTTATAAAAAGACTATCTTTTTGTATTCTCATTGTAACGACTGAAGTTGTAATGAATACCTCAATGAAGAAATTAATTTTCTCCCCAAACAAGCTGGCGACCACAGTGAGAGCCAATAGCTTCGCTACCGAGGCTGTCGTGTCACAACCGATGATCAAGATCCTAGTGATCGAAGAGGTCGAATACGAATTCGACCAGAAGAAATTCGAAGAGTATATCTCTTCCTCCTCCTCCAGATCCGCCTCTCCTCATAAGTGCAGGAAGGTCTCCTCCTCCCGGAAGATCTACTGATCTTCAGATTTGAAGACTCAAGAAGGCGATATCCCCGCTACCGTTGCTACAGTTGCACCTCGTGACGATCCATCAGCGTCCAATGAAGCCAGATCTGCAGATCTGAACTCCTCCTTGATCAAGGAGTCGATTGCTGAAGGCGCGCGAACTCTATCAAAGAGAGCACGTCAAAGGCAACGCTAACGCCTCGCGCGCCAATTCGCCAAGGCTTTGGATCAAGTGGACGGACTCCGTTACCAAGCGGATCTGGAGTTCAGAAAGCGCCAAGTGGCTAAGCTATCGCCACAACAAGCATCGGGATCCTCCTCCTAACCTCTGATTAACAAATGACTTTGTATCAAACGAACCCGTTCTACTCTCGAGGAGCGCATCCAGAAGCATCACGCACTTCTTGCGCAATCCCAGATCCTTGTGCGAAAGGCACAAGAATTACAAAAAGAAGAAGTGTTCAAAAAAACACCAAGATCTATGCAAGTTTGGGTGCCGAAGGCCAAGTCGACGCTTCTACCCGACAAGAGACATCGGTTGTGTGTCTCGCTCGGTTCCAGATCCAAAGTTGGTTCCCAGCTTTCATCAAGTTCAGATCTCGCTCCTTCTAATCCCACACCTCCGGTGAAGCTCTGTGATAGTATGGACATATCCAAAGGCAGGAAAGCAATAGCGGAACGCCTAGGTCCTTTGCACGAGGATCAAGTCAAAAGCTCCACTCAAAGAATGCTTAGGCGCGATGAATGAACCCCGAGTAACTCATCGAGCTGGGGGTCGCACTCACCCTTGCAACAAGTCTGAGCCTTCTCATAAAGGGAAAATTCTAGTAACTGACTAATAATCATATTTTATTATAATTTTATATCCTTATTATCTATTTTATATGAATAAGTATGCCACTAATAATTGTTTTTATCTTTAAATGCAGGTTAATGAAGAATAAATTCCAAAAAAATCTCATCTCTCATCAAAATCCCTTGATTTAACGAAGAAATGAAGCAAAAGAGAAATTAAGAAGTCCATTGGAAAATCAAATTGCCAATATATCCAAAGCCCAAAGCAAAAGAATCAAGCCACGGAGAAATGAAGCCCATGAAGCCAAATAAATTCTTTCAATATTTAATGAAGTGTTAAAGCCCAAAATGTCAAGAAAATGTCCAAGGCCCAAGCCTAAGAACAAACACAAGGTGGATACTCGGACAACAACCAGGAAGGACTTCACATCGATGCTAGCATCGATGGGGGCATCGATGCTAGCATTGGTGCCCGTATTGATGCTAGCATCGATACGCCTATCGATGCTGGTATCAATACTTCCGACATTCTGTTACGAATCTAAGGCTGAAATTTATTGTTTTTGGATAAGATTTCAATCCAAGGGCTCTCATTCACTGATGTTTACTATAAATAGGGGTAGAGAGTATATTATTATTAATAATTATAATTATGTACATTTATTAAATAAATAATTATACTATTTCATTACGATTAATAATTATTTTATAGTAAATTATAATATATTTATTAATTTTATTATCATTATAAATTATTAGTATATTCTAGCGAGTGACCAAATATTTTGAGAAAAAGAAGAGAAAAGTATATGTCTCATAAAATTCAAGGATCCAAATTTTTTTATATAAATTAATTTTCTAAAATAAAAGTATTTTTAATTTATAACATCTAAATTTTTATTACTAAGATGGCATTAATTATCGAACAAGGTAATATTCTTTATAACATAAAGAAATAACCCCTATTTATACTATAATTAGTAATAATAATTATGTGCAATAATTTATTAAATGAATGACTTTTATTTTTTATATAATTAATAATTCTTTATAATAAATTATTATATATTTATGAATTTTGTTATCATTATAAATTGTTAATATATTCTAGTGAATGACCAAATAATTTAAGAAAATGAAAAAGTTCATAGTTAATGAGAGGTTATGGATCATTAGTTTTATAATTAATGATATAATTTTGAGTTATAAAAAATTGAGAGGGTAAAAAGAAAATGAAAAGTTTTGACATGGGTATTATTTTTTATAAGTAGTATAGATATAGATAAATGTAGATGTAGATATAGATTAAGGGGCTATTTGATTGTTTTCTGAAAAAAATCGGAAATGGAAAACTCACATTTCAACTCATTTCAAGAGATATCAAGACATTTTCCTGTATTTCTTTTTTTATTTGTTTCGCAATGAAATCACCGTCACGTCAGCGCCACGTCACATAAGAAACAAATTCAGCCACAATAGTAGTAGTGTTTCGACTTTTATTTCTTGTGTTTGTTTGAACATAAAAAAATAAAATGGAAACCAGCCGTAATAGTAACAGTGTTTTCAGCAATTAAATAATCTATTTTATTCACAGTCATTGTTTCAACAGTGCTTTTAATAATTAAAAATTTATTGGAGTGATATTTCCAAATGTTTTCAGAGGTTTTGGTGTGAAAACACTTTTATCAAAAATCTGACGTGACATCATATATGACACCCTCATTTTTTAAAGGGAAAAATGTATTAAGGCCCCAAAAAAATAAAGCTGTTGTGACTAAGCCCCCTGTATTATTTTTTGAGTGACAAAGCCCCAAACACAAGAATTACTTGTATTTCAGCCCCTAGTTACATTTCCAATGCAGAACAGTGAGAGTACTTTTTCAAAACCCAAAACTACCCTCTCACTCTCTTCTCTCTTCTCACGCTTCAACCTGTCCGCCGGAGATACCTCTCCACCGCCGCCGCCGTCGCCTCTGACCACCGCTCCTCTCCGGCGGATACCTCCGCGAAGGTTGACCCCAAGATCCAGACCTCCGACGCCCTCCCTCTCCCCAGTTGCCACATGAATTTTTTTCTTCTCGTTCCTTTTCATGGCCTCACTCTTCTTCCTCATGCGCCGGTGGTGTGAAAAGATCCGCACCTGCACCCCTCTGCATGTCGTTGGGTTCGTCGAGATCCTCTCCATTCTCTCCCTTGTTGCCTCCCTAATCTATCTCCTCTCTTTCTTTGGCATCGCTTTCGTTCAATCTAGTGTATCCAGCTCCGATGACGAAGAGGAGAATCAATGGCAGAGCCAGCAACAACAGAGATACCCTCCCCCTCCTCCTCCTTGCCCTCTCCGATTTTCGGTTTCATTATTTGATCTTATTAAGTTATGTAATGTGCTTAATTAAGATGCAAGTTCTCATATTATACTAATTCTGGTGGTGCCACAGAATTGAAGAAGTCATTGCTAAGTGTCTTTCAAGATGGGAAGCATCACCCAAGGATGTCTTTAGTGATTGATGATCGTTTGGCAGTGTGGGATTTTAAAGATAAGCCGCGAGTTCATGTTGTTCCAGCTTTTGCCCCTTACCATGCTCCTCAAGCAGAGGTATAATGGATGCCTAAGTAATTGCGATTTGATCAAAAGATTGATTTAACTTGTTCTGTATTAAAGGTGGTTAGTTCCGTCTCTGTTTTATGTATCACAAGAAATGTTGCATGCAACGTTAGAGGCGGTTTTTTCAAGTAGGGAGCACAAGCTCTTCTCATCTTCCATCCATCTTTTGTTACTGTAGTGGTGATACTTTCCTCTTGATATGATTATCAATCGTTAAACATGACAACCATGGTATACAATGGCTAGAGGGTGCAAATCTAAGATGTCCATGGCATTGTAAAATTACACAAAGCTTAGGATGTCGTGCTTGCAGGTGGATAGGATGGTCTAATCTAAAGTTCTACAATGATTTTGTTCCTTGATGCTTCTTATGAAACAGTGCTGGCATTGACCTGATGGGGCACGGCTGTGGAAGTTCTCTATTCTTCTGTAATTTCGTATGTGTGTTGGTGGTTTTCTTGAGCTCAAAGAAACTACATTTAGATTTGTGATGGTGTCTATCTGCACGTAGATTTGTGATGGGGTCCATCTGCACGTAGTTGTACTAGTTTGTGATTATTTTTGTAATGCTAAGAGATTGATGTAAGATGATGATGTTATTTTGTTATTATTCTATAGGATGAAAGGTTACCGGGGAAGAAGGGGAATCATGGTTTGGTTGTACTTAGATCAAAATTTAATAAAATGTATTATACCTATTTAGTGATCAATTTTAGTGTAATTTATTACGATTGTATGTGAAATGTATTATGAATGTCATGTGAATATCTACAAGTTTATTCAAATAGAACTTGATGTGCAAAATAAACTAAAGATTATATATAAATTATGTATATCAAAACCTGAATATTATGGTACATAATATGTACATAATCTTGAGGTTATTGTGTACATAATATATACAGATTATGTACATAATCTTCAAGTTACGATACACTATTAAATCTCATTATATTGTAACTCTCCTCGTAACATGTTAACTTTTCAGCTGAACATGTTAACTTTCATCATAATAGGTTAACTTTTATTGTTACATGTTAACTTTCATAATAATATGTTAACTTTCATCATTATATGTTAACTGTCCTCGTAGCATGTTAACTTTTATCATAATATACCTTGCGTGTGTGCGCGGGAACTTGGTGAATTATATGAGAAAGAACAAGACATTGAGAAGGCTATGGACTACTTTGAGCGAGCTGCTGATCTTTTCCAGAGTGAGGAGGTAACAACGTCTGCAAATCAATGCATGCAGAAAGTTGCTGAATTTTTCTGCTCAAGCTAGAACAGTAAGATATATACCTTGCTTGGAGTAATTATTTAAACTTACATGTTGAAGTTATAAATTAATTTTATTTGTTCACCATCATTTTGTTATGTAAAACTTTAAAATTATATCAGAGCAACAGACTGGAATGTTAGTAATTCACAAATTTAATCTTTTTTATTTATACAGTATCATATATCTAACTAGCTTGCTACTTTATATCATGCAGTTTTGATTGTGAAATTTTCGTTCCGTTATATATGAAGGCTATAATCCATGGGGTTGATACGAATTAAGTAACTACTCCCGATGCTGAGTATGATGTCATCCGTGCCAGGCTAGCAGCTGAACTTCTAATGGAAGGATGTCAACAGAAGAATCAAGCAGAGACATTTGATAAGGATAGGAGAAAGCTATTCTAAAAAATGATTGGTTGAACCAAAACATGTGTGCATGTCTGTATTGTGTATATTAGTTTAGTTGTGTAAACAGTTAATGTGGATGACAAACAATGCAGCAAGCTTGACCTTTATTATTCTTATTGTATTTTCTGATATTTTTGCCACTATATATTTACGTTTTGTTTTGATACAACGTATATTTAACAGGTTCAAATGAAAAACTACATATTTACTTGAATGTCAATAGGAAAAGCCAATACGTAACATGTACATTTGACAAGCTAACATATTCAGTTGCATGTTATCATGTTATAAAGAAGACTGGCATGTAATAGTAAAAGTTAACATATTATGCTGAAAGTTAACATGTTCACAAGAAAGTTAACATATGCAGATGAAAGTTAACATATACAGCTGATAGTTAACATGTTCACGTGAATGTTAGCATATAAATCTGAACGTTAACATATACACCTGAAAGTTAACATATAGAGATGAGAGTTAACATGCAAGAGTCTGGGCATACCCCAACTAGGAATCTGTCTAGTTGTTGTTGGTAGCTTATGTGAGATGGGAAAGTTTGAGGAGGTTCTAGGTCTTCTATGATTATTTTGCTCTGGGGATATTTGAAAGTTAACCATTTTTAATAAATGTTAGCGTAAAGAGCGGAAGGCTAACATGTTCCCGTGAATGTTAACTCATTCAGGTGAAAGTTAACATGTTCATTTCAAGCATATGATTAGTCTTAAAACTTTACAGATTACAAAAGTCTGCAACAATATCAACTTTTTAGCAGCATATAATCATTTTGTTTTCCTTTCTAGTGTTATCATCATCATAAATGCAAGGCTTTGTCTTGGTGTGGATGGCAAACTACACATGTTATTGTATTTATGGTATTTTGCCACCATATATCTACATTTTGTTTTGATACAAAACATATTTTTAATAAGTTCAAATGAAAAAAAAACTACATATCTGCCTGAATGTTAACATTATTAACGTGAAAGTTAACATGTTGAGCTATATGTTAACATGTAGAGCTTGAAGTTAACATCTTCAGATAAGAGTTAACATATTCTAGTGAAAGTTAACATGTTCAGTTGAAAGTTAACATGTTCGGCTGAAAGTTAACATGTACGGTTAAAAGTTAACATGTTCAACTGAGATTTAACGTTTTCAAGTGAAAGTTAACATGCTCATGTTAGAGTCAACATTTTCGTCTGACGGTTTACCTTTTCAACACTTACTTTTTAAGCTGAAAGTTATTATAGTACCAAAATAATTAACAGGATACATAAACAGAATACCTCAACTAAACAAGTACATTACACAAAATTTCTTACATTCTTGCAGCTGATATTATTTAGTATACAAATATCTTACAGAAACCACTCCAATCTCCATGCAAATCTACACAATTTAGTATACATGCATTCTTTAGAAAGAAGCTGAGCTTGATCTTCGCAGCTGATACTTTGGTTCTGGTGGCGGCTCAGAATGTAATATTGTGTCCAACTCCTAGAAAAAAATAAATGAAAAACCTGAGTTACTTGGGCATTTCATCAAACACCTACAACCCCCATCAAACACCTGAGTTACTTGGGCAAAGATTCTTCAAAGGATTACATCAAGGCAGGTATAACATCTTCGTCCCTGAAAGCAGTCACCAGGGGACAAACAGAGCACATAGCTCTCAATGAGGGAACGTCCTTTGTGACTGCATTGGTCAATATCACAAAGACAAGCACAAGTCAACAAGAACATAATGATAACAAGGAAAAATGGAATTACGATAAGCTCATGGCCTCATCAAAGGCCTTCTAACTCACAATGTTCCAAGGTCGAGAGCAGTTTGCCTCTTAAGAACTACGTAAAGAGAAACAAAATTCAGAAGAAGAAAAAAAAACTATTAGCGTAGTTAGTATATCAGGGAAGTTTGTTTAGTCCAAAAAACATTGAACCGTTAGAACAGGTTGAGAACTAAGAGATGTATGAAGATTCAGATGGGAGAAGTAAAAGAATATAACAAGAGAACTACAAATATCCAACGCGTGAATGTATATTCATCTATCTATCTACAAAAAGAATTGATTTTCCCTATCTATCTATAATTACAAAAGCTGAGATAGAAACAACATCAACGAGGGGGGGAAAAACAAAAAAAATTCTTCTACTCTTCTGTATACCAAAATGTGATGAATGTAGTATAATCCTCTCACTGAACTACCATGGAAGTAGCCCAGTATTCCTATCAGCAAAAACCTGCAACACCCAATCTCTAAGCCCAGTATCATTAACCTCACAAAATCTCGTCGACCAATTAGGAGGCTCAACAGCCTTCGTCCCTAATCCTGGTGCTCGATCCTTCGATCCCATATTCGATCCCACATTTTACCTCGTTGATAACTACCTACCTGTGGCTGAGATCTAGAGGCGTAGGAGACAAAGCCAGAGAAGAGGAAGACGGGCAGGGAGAGCAGGACAATCGGACCCACTAGATGCCAAATAATTGTGATGGCAGATCACCAGCTCCATGGGTTAAGAGGAAGATTTCCTTGGTGAGAGATGAGGGCATTTTAGGTAGGTTGGTCAAAATACACCCAATACATGTATATGAATGGGCTTTTAGGGCTGGACCACAATTTTCACTATTTTATGGGGCTAAATGCTAAGGGAATTAATTGCTGGGTCTGGGTCACAACCGGATCTTTTTTTTGGGGCCTTAAAACATTTTTCCCTTTTTTAAATCATAAACGAAACAAACATATAATTTAAAAATAGGTTAAAATCAAAATCCTACGTGATAGGGGTTTTTTTGAAATCTGACGTGACGAGAGGATTTTCTCATTTTTTTAGCAAACAAACAGCCCTAAATAAAAAGCGGTTTTAGGCGCACTCAAGCTACGCTCACAAACAAAATCCAAACCGGCCATTCTCACTTTATAGAAATGTTAGGGGCACACCCCAAGTCACACCTCCAACCGCACCTCCTCCTCTCATTCGCTACAGTACTCCGGGCCCCACATGAGTTTTTAAAATTTAAAAACTCATGTGGGGCCCGGAGTACTGTAGCAAATGAGAGGAGAGGTGCGGTTGGAGGTGTGGTTTGGGGTGTGCTCCTGACATCACTCCTCACTTTATGAGGATACTTAACATTATCCACGTCCAAATCCTGAAAGATTAGGTGTCCTCAACTGGGACCCACTCCCAAAATTCTCTGAGACACGTGGCCTCACCTCGGATTCCTCAACTCCCCTATTTCCCTCCCTCTTCAGTCTCCGCTCCCCCACCGGCTCACTCCCTCTCGATCTCAAGAGAAGAAAACCCTCTTTTCTCCCGTAATTTCTAGGGTTTCGTGACCTCCTCGGCGTCGATCTCAAACGAGATGATCGTCTCAGCTCTGCTCACCTCCGTCGGCATCAACCTCGGCCTCTGCGTTCTGCTCTTCGCGCTCTACTCCATCCTCAGGAAGCAGCGGCGAACGTAAGAGGTCTAACCCCTCGCCTCGGTCTCGAGAGGGGAGAGCTCACAGAGAGGCGGTTTTAAGCATTGAGAGCCTGCTTCGTCGCCGGATGGGTCGGAGCGGCGTGGAGAGTCTCGAGGACGAGCTCCTCGCTTTATCCGGCCTCGACGGCGTCGTCTTCATGCGGATCTTCATTTTTAGGTAATTTTTTTCTGTTATTTTCTGGGGTATTTGCACTTTGACACCACCAAAGTACTACCTTTTCAAACTTTGTTATGTAAATACGCCAAAGTGCGAAAAAATTGCCCTTGATTTTGTTCAAGGATATAACATATAAAGCAAACGGGAATTTCTTTTGTGCCGTTTTTTTTCTTTTTTCAGTTTTGGGGAACGCGAGGAGACTTTGGAGTATGCAATTACCATATTAAGGTCAATCCGAAAATTTTGGGCATTTAATTGTCAAAATAGAACTTAAGACACCAAAGTTGCAAAACGTTGAAACTTTGGGGTATTAAAGTGAAAACAAGCCTTATTTTTTCTTGAATGACAGAATCTTTTGATTGAAGCAATGAATATTGGTAAAGTAACTGTGTCCTTCTGCTGCTATTGGTTGAGGGAAGGAGCTTTGCATCTTATTTGTGTTATACAGTCATGGAGCTGTGAGAAATCTATACTACTCATTACGAATTAACCTAATAAGTAGAGGTTATTATGGATGGTTTGTCGGAACTGGCCTATGTCTGTTGAGAGAGAATTATTGCCAAACACATTGACTAGTGTATGTTTCACAAGGAAGCAAAGAAAAAAGAATGGTTGAAGCTGAAACTTCAATACGGAATTGATTCTGAAGAATAATAAACTCAAATGGATCTTGAATCCACAAGAAACTGAAAGCTAAGCCTTTAATGTTAAAAGAACCAGATTAGAAATGCAAACTGTTCATATACTATAGCTGTATATGTCGGAAAAGAAATGAAATGGGCATCCTAAGTGAACTGATTTTTGTGCTTGGAAGAATCTAATACCAGTTATGACTCTAAAATTAGCGAAATTTTATTACAGCTCTAGCTCCAAAACAAACTCTTACCTAATAGTAATAGTATACTTCTGTTAAAATAGATTATTGCAAAAGGGTACTGCTGTGTAAAGTAACTAAATTTTTCTCGAAAGAGAAAAGATGCTCAACTTGTTAGAACTTGTCATTGCATTATGGCCATCTAAATCACATTGAGACCACTTAACTTATCAGAAACTCAAATCAAATGGGTCATGTTGGTGTATGTTTGTCAAACGGTTCAATGATTTGATCCACCACATTCACTTGCAAATTAGAGCTGAGTGAACTACATGTTGATGCCAGACTTGGCTAACTTGTAAATTGGTCGACAACCATACCTCTAATATATGCCTTTTGGACTCAAATCTGCACACAGACCCTCTTCTGCTTCCGCTTGGCAGTAGATGTCCAGAATTCCTTTAATTTCCATCTGATTCTATGATATTCCTCTTAGTATTTTTCTTCCCTTTTTCACTTGAACATCTCCAAATATAAATTTTACAGTTTCTCTAAACATCTTCAACTTGAGGAAAAAAATAACAAATCCAACAACTGCTGTATGATTGAAAATTGACCGGATTGTCTGTAAATATTTTCAAATTATGGCTATTATTTAGGGGTTGTCCTATTGGAGTTCCAAATCTTTGTTATTTTAGATGCCTCAATATTCATATTTCTGAGTTAGATCCTCACGTCCTTTAAGTTGCTTGAAATAAGACCTCGAAATCTAGGAAGGATTTATACCCCTGGATTTATTAATTTGTTTTAAATAAGACTTCTTTTTCAAGCAGATATGAAGATCTGTGGGTCTAATTTAGAGATATAAAGATTTGAGGGTCTGTTCTAATATAGAATTAGCAATAATTTAGGGGTCTAATATGAAAACTCCTATTATTTATTGTATCCTTTTGGTTTTGCTATCATATGTTGACTATCTGTCATGGCTCCGGCCCGAGGGCCTGTTGGCACAATGTAAGCCTTGGACCCAACATGTAGTTTGGCTCAGTCTCTTACCAAAATTGACTAGTTAATGTTGTACTTGACTCGTTAGACTTATATTATAAATCATTCAATCTCTCAATTAATATCCGACGTGGGACTATACTTGGGGTATCACATATCACATCATGGCAGGTGATGTGGACTACCGAGATGGCTCCTACGGGCTCTAGAGGTGCCTCCCGCGATAGTCACGAGATGTTGTATCACATATCACATCACGGCCAGGTCATGTGGACTATCAAGGTGGCTCCTACGAGCTCTAGAGGTGGCTCCCACCGGAGTCACGCGATGTAGCACTTAGTCCCATATAGCACTTAGCTCCACACTTTCTGCTGGCTACTTGCTTTGATACCATTTCTCATGCCCTAGGCCTGCGCTGGGACCCACTGAGTGCAACATGTGGTTTGACTCAATCTACTACCAAAATTAACTTGTTACTGTTGCACTTGACTTCTTGGACTTATATTGTAAACCATTCAATCTCTCAATCACTATCCGATGTGGGGCTATACTTGGGATATTACACTTTCTGTTACTCATGGCCATGGAATAGCTATTGCTTTTCATTGGCTCGAGTTTGTTTATTGTAGATTAGTTCCCAAGTGACATGTTCATTTTTCATGCACCCAAAGCATCAATATTGTACTCATGACACCATCAGATTGCCCTTAACCTTTATAGTGTGGTTCTTGTTCTCTCTCATTTTTCTTGAATGATTTGTTGGGGAAAATTCAACAAGGATCAAATAATGCAAAGCTTAAATGATGTTTCTTTTTTACGAGATAAATGACCTGATCTGAGCAATTATTTACAGTCACTAGAACCACTTTTAAGATTTTGAAATTGTAGCAATAATGTTGCTGGATATTCCCTCAACACCTATGTTAAATATAACAAAAAATTCTAACCTTGAACTTTTTGAGAATCACGGATGTGTTATGTGGACCGTGAGAAGTTCATGCTATTTCTGGGTAAAATTTCAATGTTTGCTGCTGGATTTCTTTCTTGCGATGCACTCGATTTTGAAAAATGTCAGTTAAAGTAGTCTTTCAATTGACAAAAACTCCCTACAACTGGTGTATCTTGCACTATTTCTTTTACTTTTGCAATTGGAAACCCCATTCTCCTTCATCTGTTTAACATAACATTCATTTAACTATATGCCATTTAGTAGCGTTTTGTTTGACAGATTTAGCTATTAAAAACGAATTTGTTATTTTTTTGGTGCAGTCTGAAGGTGTTTTCTATTGCTGGGGCTATAGGAATTTTTGTTCTTCTCCCAGTGAACTATTTGGGCGATCAACTTCGCGATATTGACTTTTCTGATCTCCCAAACAAGTCTTTGGATTTGTTCACCATTTCAAATGTAAAGGATGGCTCGAATAAGTAAGTTCTGTAAGATTTTATGAAAACAGAATATTAATGGGTAACATTCTATGGAAAATAGTTTGTTTGCTGATATCTGTTTACTGTGTCCCACTGCTAATGTTTAGCACCTTTAAAGATTAAATCTGTTCTATCCCAAATAAAAAAAGATTAAATCTAAGATGCCGTTTATGGTTAAAACAACATTCTCATTGATTTGATCATAATTATTTTTTGAGCTTGCTAAAGAACTACATCATGCTGTGTTAGAAGCAGAAATGAGTTTTATTACGGACATAACTTAGAAACGTGTTTGTCAGTTAAAAGATACTCTAGCATGCGGAATGGAAAGATTCCATATGGCATAAATTCCTAGGACTATGAGTTCTGGCATTACTTCATTAGATTCCTAGAAATATGCTTTACTATGCTGGTGCAATTTAAGAATGATTATGTTCATGTCTCATGCATACAAATGCGTAAACATCGATATCAATGTCTACCTTAAAATTCTGCTCTTTTTTAAGAAAATCTGATTGTTGCATAAATTATTTTACTAAAAATTTGTTCGTTCTTATATGAATAATGACTACACTTATATACGAGTCAAATTTAGATATATAAAAAATGTAAGAATATAAGCTTGTTAATGACGTTCTCAGTAAAATTGACGTGCCCGGCACTATGTGCTCGTGTTATTGTGTATAGATCATAGCTTATTTTTGGAGAAAGACAAATTAAGATTATCACTAGGAAGGATATATGCCACCCTAATGAAATGTTAGTCAAGTTTATTATGGTTCGTGGAGAATGAGAGAACTTTAAATATTGAGAATTCATAGGAAGATAAATGCTGTGAACTTAATTGGTAACTTCGACAGTTGAAGTTGTTCACCTCTGATTGCTGTTACACAAGATACTTGGATTAAAACATTTGGCACGCATAAAAAAGATTGAATTATCCCAATGATTCATTTACAAAATCAGCAGCTTGTATTGATCATTATGTTTGGTCCTTTATTTTAAAGGAGATGATAAAGCAATTGCAACAAATGAGTTTCACTATGTTTCAATTGTTATCCATCTTATGCATTACCAAGAAAAGATGCAGGGAGGTGATCAGTCTATCATTATAACTTGGCTAAATGGTAATAGTAACACACTAGAACAAATTCTAGAAGAAAATGAATAAGGTTTATTTGCGGCGAAAAGGATAATGTCAAACAGCTCATTGGTAGGACACTACAAATTGTTGGTAAAAAAAAAAAAACAGCTAATAGAATTTTGATTTTGTTGAGTGTAGTATAACTATGGGAATGCAGTAAAATGGAGTATGCAAATTCAATATATGAAAGCATAAATAATGAGAGGTTGAGTAGAGAAGGATAAAGTGCTAATTCGATTGTAACGCTGAGATATATTGTGGTTCAGCGAGCTTGACCTATGCCCACTTCCCAATCAAAGCTAATCTTTACACCTAGGACTGGACGTCAGCCACTTCTCCTACTG